TTAATACAGTAGTCTCACTTTCCCTAAGTGTCTATAAGCCTTTCTGCCTTCTCTGATCTGTCTGTGCTACTGTGCTGATAGATGCTGCAGAGAAACCCAGAGCTCTGGCATTTTCTGAAATTGTATGTGTTTGTGGCTCATCATAATGTTTCTGTGTCAGAGGAAGGCAGCAACTGCAGCTCCTTTAGTTTGCAGAATCAGCAGCTCAACATATGTTTTGTACTCCCCAGGTCGTTTTGACAGAGAGGTAGATATTGGTATCCCAGATGCCACTGGGCGCCTGGAGATCCTGCAGATCCACACAAAAAATATGAAACTGGCTGATGATGTGGATCTGGAACAGGTGAGTAGCATGCTCTTAGGAAAGCTTGTCTCTGCTCATTTAGGACAGCATGAAACTAGGCAAATATGTGATCTCTGGGCTTCCTTCTAACTAGTTTACCAGTGACCAAAAATCTTCACTCGCTAGTGAAGAATGACATGGCTAAGTGAAACAAACGTGTATCAGTCCAGTCTGGAAGTGCCTTGCCACTGTCATCCTGGGTTTGCTCTGGTATTCTCTTTAAAAATAAAGCAAGCCTGAAACAGCTCTCACAGAGCTGGGTGAACATTGTGGTGATACTGGATGGATGTAATATTTGTCCTGAATGAAGAACTGCAATCCTCAGGGTTATCTTTCTGCATACTATTCCAGTTGCAACTTTGATTTTGAGTAGGAAGTGGAACAGCAGTGTCTTTACCTGCTAAATATGTGATAGCACTTGTCTTGAATTTGCAGCAAAGCACTAATATTTCTGCCCTTCAGAGTTCTATTGTACCTCTGAGTGAGTGACCAGAGCATGCGTTACCCTTGCAGAGCGCTTGCTCATATTCCCGAGAGTCATAGTCAATGTTCTGCTTTCAGGTGTCAAATGAGACCCATGGCCATGTTGGTGCTGACTTGGCTGCTCTTTGCTCAGAAGCTGCTCTTCAGGCTATCAGAAAAAAGATGGATCTCATAGACCTAGAAGATGAAACCATCGATGCCGAAGTGATGAACTCACTGGCTGTGACCATGGATGACTTCAGGGTAATGCAGGAGTGCTCTTCTTTCTTTTGTGTACATTGTCTAATTGCTGACTTCAGGGCAGGAGTGCTCTTCTTTCTTTTGTGTACATTGTCTAATTGCTTATCTGAAGTGAGTGAACATAACATGTTAGAATTGATATAATGCTGTTTCTTCTAACGATAGTGGGCTCTGAGCCAGAGCAACCCTTCTGCTCTTCGTGAGACTGTGGTGGAGGTACCACAAGTTACCTGGGAAGATATTGGTGGTCTAGAAGATGTAAAGAGAGAATCTTCTTTCTTTTGTGTACATTGTCTAATTGCTTATCTGAAGTGAGTGAACATAACATGTTAGAATTGATATAATGCTGTTTCTTCTAACGATAGTGGGCTCTGAGCCAGAGCAACCCTTCTGCTCTTCGTGAGACTGTGGTGGAGGTACCACAAGTTACCTGGGAAGATATTGGTGGTCTAGAAGATGTAAAGAGAGAACTCCAGGAACTCGTACAGGTAAGGATTTCCAACAGAATTTTTCCTAGTTAGCTTGAAAAATAATTATAATAATAAAATTCAGAATCTCTGCACATTCCTGTTTGGGTTGTGAACAGGGTAAATGCAGAGTCTGCATGGTATTTGCATGTAATGGACTGAAAATACCATGTTGTTCCATCTTGGAGAACTTGGGGAGAGGGAGTTGCTGGGAAGCAGCATCAGGCTTTCCTTAGCTGAGTCTACAGGGACATCTTGGGTAGGTGTTGCGCTACATACAGAAACAGCAGCAGTTCTGCTTTTCTTAAGTGGAGAATAGCAGTGGCACCACTGCTCAGAATCCTATTATGTGGTGGCTTTAATATGCTACAAAGTGGATGAAGATTCTCATAGAGAGAGCCTCTGAAGTTTGACTTTCCATCAGCATTAGCATAGATAGAGGTGAGAAGTAATTTGGAAGCCTACTTTGAAAGGAGAAGCTAGAACAAAGTCATGAATGGTCTGTGGAAACTTCTGGTGCCTGTCTGTGAATAAAGGAATCTACTTTTCAGTCTAACTTCTGGTGTTAAAATCATTGCCTATCTCTGATCTTCTTGTGGAGGATAAATGCTCACATCAGACATCTTGCCTGTCTTTGGAGGGCAGAGCAAATAAGTTAGATAATGAGTTGTTTCCTTTTGCTTCTGCACGGCAGACTGAAGCTGGGGTTAAGTGTGCTGGAAAGCTACCTGAACTGGTACTTAGTTCATAGGTGGAAATAGACTGTTTAAGGCAGCTTTACAATTTAGCTATGATGCTTTACAAATCAGTGCCCATTTAAAAACACCAATGGCACTGAGCAGGCAAAATCTTGTTTAACTCACCAGAAATCATAAAATTATTTGGGTTGGAAGGGAGATTAGAAGATCATTGCAACCTCCCTGCCATGGGCAGGGACACCTTCCACTAGACCAGGTTACTCAGAGCTTCATCCAGCCTGGCCTTGAACCAATTCCAGGGATGGGGCAGCCACAACTTCTCTGGGCAACCTGTGCCAGTGCCTTACCACCCTCACAGTAAAGAATTTCTTCCTAATTTCCAATCTAAATTGGCCCTCTGTCAGTTTAAAGCCATTCCCCCTTGTCCTGTCACTACAAAACCTTGTTAAAAGTCCCTCTCAGCTTTCTTGTAGGCCCCCTTTAGGTACTGGAAGGTTGCAATGAGGTCCCCCTGGAGCCTTCTCTTCTCCAGGCTGGACACTCCCAGCTCTCCCAGCCTGGCTCCATGGCAGAGGGGCTCCAGCACTTGAAGCATCTCCATGGCCTCCTCTGGAGCCACTCCACATCCCACAGGAACATCTCCATCCCTTTATACTGAGGTCTCCATGCATTCTTCTCTTCTCCAGGCTGAACAGCCCCAACTCTCTCAGCCTGTTTTCATAGGTGAGGTGCTCCAGCCCTCAGACTATCTTCCTGGCCTGTGGGCTTGCTTCAACAGGTCCATGTTCTTCTTGTGTTGAGGGCCCCAGAGCTGGATACAGTACTCTGGGTGGAGTCTCACAAGTGTGGAGTAGAGGGGCAGAATCACAGAACAGTTAAGGGTGGAAAGGACCAGCGGTAGGATCATCTGGTCCAACTTCCCTGCTCAAGCTGGGTCATCCTAGAGCACATTGCGCAGGATTGTGTCCAGACAGTTCTTGAATTTCTCCAGTGAGGGAGACGCCACAACTTATCTGGGCAGTCTGTTCCAGTGTGTGGTCACCTGCACAGTAAAGAAGTTCTTAACATGCTCAGGTGAAACTTCCTGTGCATCAGTTTCTGCCTGTTACCTCTTGTCTTATTGCTTGGCACCACCGAGAAGAGCCTGGCTCCATCCTGTTGACACCCTCCCTTCAGATACTTATTACATATTGATGAAGGTCCCCTCTTAGTTGTCTTCTTGAGGCTGAACAGGCCCAG